CTATTGGTTGAGGAGCCAGATGGTGACGCGACTCTTGAACTGTTGTAGAGACGTTGCGTGATGGAGGCTGGTATTCCTGACCATGTTGTTCCAGAGGCGCCCATATCTTGACAGAAATGAGCGCAGGTGGATCTCTGTCCTGGCAAAGGGCACACGCACTTGCTCTTGTCGCTCGCGTCCGTGGTGGAGGGTGTCGTAGCTGGAGTCGTGTGGAGCGGGAAGGCGTAAGCTTGATAGATGTGGAGTCTGCACTACGTTAACCTTATACATTACACAAAGGCCGCCAACATTGCGCCGGTGTTGCAATGGTTGAAGTGTGGCATCCAGCGGTTGCCGAGTTTTGTAGCGGATGATTGCTTCAGCCCTCCTCTGAACCTGATCCAGTAGAAGAAGATATGAAGGCGGACAGGCAGACCACACGAGCGGACTGTACTCCATAAGACTGCGAACTTGCGACTTATAGAGTGCTGCTACACCGGGCCCGTCCAGGAGATGGCTGATGCGACGGATGCATCCAAGCTTCCATGCAGCTGTCTTGGCCACTTGCTGGACGTGACGCGTGTATGTTAAGCCGCTATCGAACTCTACTCCGAGGATCTTGATGGAGTCCTGCAGAGTCAATCTTTTGCCGTCGAGGAGGATGTTTGGAGCGAGCAAGGAGGCCAGGTCCCTCCGACGGGAGACGAGCATCGCCTGTGTCTTCTCCGGGGCCAGCGTCACCTGCCATCTCCGGCTCCACGCCACAAGGTTCTGAAGCGTCTGATTGATGCGCGCTATTGTTCGCTGATGGTCGTCTCGCTTACACGTGAATGACATCGTGCAGTCGTCAGCATACGCGGACGCCTCCGGTATGAGTTGCAGGATGTCATTAAAGAAGACGTTCCAAAGCAGAGGTCCGAGGACGCTACCTTGGGGCACGGAGGCACTGATGGGGCACTCGGTGGAGGAGTGGCCGTTCACCACCACGGAAAGTGATCTTCCATGGAGATAGTTTTGGAGAAGGTCCAAGAGGTCCCCACTGATGCCGAAGCTCCTTAGCTTGCTGATGATGCCACGGTGCCACGCCCTGTCGAACGCACCAGCGATGTCTAATGCAATAACATGAGTGTCTTGGCCATCATCTAGGGCTTGACTCCATGACGATGACTGGACGAGAAGTAGGTCAGAGGCTGATCTCTCTGCCCGAAAGCCAAACCGTTTCTCGTTCAATAATCGGTGGCCGTCGAAGTGCCTAGTGAGTTTTTCGGCAATTATAGTTTCCAATATCTTGCTAACAACAGATAGCAGAGATATGGGCCTATAATTGTTAGGATCCGTTGCTGCAGATTTTTTGTGTATTGCCGCTACTCTAGCAGATTTCCACAGACAAGGCCATTGCTTCTTTTGCAAGTTGTTGAAAAGCCTACACAGAGGCTCTGCTAATTGATCAGCACAGCCTTTGAGTAGGCTTTTCAACAACTGCTTGCAAAAGAAGCAATGGCCTTGTCTGTGGAAATCTGCTAGAGTAGCGGCGATACACAAAAAATCTGCAGCGACGGATCCTAACAATTATAGGCCCATATCTCTGCTATCTGTTGTTAGCACCTCGACGGCCACCGATTATTGAACGAGAAACAGTTTGGCTTTCTCTCTTCTCTCCCCTCTCTCTCTTCTCTCCTCTCTCTCTCTTCTCTCCTCTCTCTCTCTTCTCTCCTCTCTCTCTCTCTCTCTCTCTCTCTCTCTCTCTCTCTCTCTCACCTTCTCTCTCTCTCTCTCTCTCACCTTCTCTCTCTCTCTCTCTCTCTCTCACCTTCTCTCTCTCTCTCTCTCTCACCTTCTCTCTCTCTCTCTCTCTCTCACCTTCTCTCTCTCTCTCTTTCACCTTCTCTCTCTCTTTCTCTTTCTCTCTTTCCTTCTTTCTCTGGACTTTGCTAGGTCCCAAAGATTGACAATTTCTAGCTCCTGGTATTAGCGCTCCAACCTACTTCGCTGGAGATGTTATAGTGATATGGGTACTGTAACCAAGGAGATCAACTACATTCTTACAAGCACTTGCCGGAGGATCCTCCAGAACTGTAAGGTTTACTGGAGTGCTGAGTTCTGGGACACTGACACTCGGCTGGTTGTGGACAACAACTCTAGGGTGTTTCAATTAAGCAGATGGAGGGAGGAGTTTGTCCGGAGGTTCGCCATGGCAGTCTCTCATCGGTTCACAGAACTCAAAAGCCTGACATACGTGGCCACAGAAGCGTGCCGCATGGCTCAGCTGATTGACAATCGGACCTGTGCTGTTCCTTGGGGCGCAGGGCTCGGACACTGTTGAGAAGGGACAAGCAACAGTTCATTAGGAATCTTGCTGAGGAGGTTGAGGGTCATTTTATGGTAAATGACCTTTGCCCTGCCTACCAGGCCCTGAGAAAACTGAACTCTAAGCCCTCTTGCAGATGTCTGTAGTCTGATCAGTGGATGGATCAGATCACGTTGGGTTCATGAATGTTGGGCTGAGTATTTTGGCAGTTGTACTAGGTAGACCCTCCAACAGTTAGTTTGGATGCAAGTGGTATCACAATACCTGTGCCAGATCCACCCATCAACGAGGAACCTCCTACCCTTACTGAGGTTAGGAAAGTTGTAGGCATATGTGATATCCCTGCTAAATTGCTGAAGTCTGGTTTAGCAGACTTCAGTATCTGGCAATATGGGTCCAGTCCCCCTGACCTGTTGGGGGCGTGGTCATCCCTCTCTGGAAGGGGAAAGGGAGTCGACAGGACTATAGCAACTACTGTGGCATCACACTGCACAGTATAACAATCAAGGTTTTTGCCCGCATCATTCTGAAATGGATCCATGACCACCTACTAAGGCACCAGAGCCTGTTTGGATTCACTCCTGGCAATTCCACAGTAGACCATAGAGTTTCGAGTCACTGTGGAAAGCCATTGTGAGTTCGGTTTGGGCTGCTTACACCCTACATCGACCTCAAGAAGGCGTTTGAGTCAGAGCATCACAAATCACTATGGGAGACCCTAAGACTTAGGGGAATTCTGACACTGACTATTGGCTTATTAGCAAGCCTAATACTGGTACTGGGGTGAGGCAAGGCTGTATCCTTGCACCTACACTTTTCAATACTTGCCTGGACTGGATAATTGGCAGAGCTACCATCCAAAGTCAGTGTGGAGCAACACTAGGCAATATCAAGGTTACAGACAATGTTGCTATACTATCTGAGTCTCTAGAATCACTGGTGGTGGCTCCTGATGTATTTAGCAATGAGGTCTCGTGGACTAAAACCAAGATTCAGGATTATGGGGGCGTTACGGGGACCCGTTCAGTCGATATATACCTTGGTAGCATAGTCCATGTCCCTGGGCTGTCAGACCAGGAAGTCAGTAGATGGCTTGGTCAGAGAGCAGAGTCATGAACTCGATCGACAAGGGCATTTGGAGAAATCAGTACCTATGCAAAAGGACGAAGCTGTGTCCATAGAGCCTTTGTTGCTGCCAGTTTTGCTCTATGGAAGCGAGACCAGGACGCTTATCTAGTGCCCTGGAGTCTCTCCTTGATTCCTCTGGTAAGAAGTCCCTGCGCGGGATCATGGGGTACAGTTGGCAGACCTTGTGTCCAATCAGCAGCTACAATGTGAGACTGGCATGGGACCTATTACTTGCATAATCTGGGACTGCCAACCCAGGCTATATGGGCACCTAGCTCGTTTGCCTGTGGATGAGTGTCATGTCTTGGGCAGCTCAACCAGTCCTGTCGCGAGGAATTAAAGTTGGGCCGAGGGCCTTCCTGAAGACTCGCCATGAGGGACCCCGTGGCTGGAAGCGAAGGGGGGAAGCTGCCATGCGCCCCCGTCGACGCTATACATATATATATTCGCATTTACTTCTTATATATATATATATATATATATATATATATATATATATATATATATATATATATATATATATATATATATATATATATATATATAAGCATATGTATACATACATATAATATATATATATATATATATATATATATATATATATATATATATATATATATATATTTATATTTATATTTATATATATGCACACACACACACACACACACACACACACACACACACACACACACACACACACACACACACACACACACACACACACACACACACGCACATACATATGTATACATATATGCACACATATATATGTGTATATATATATATATATATACATATATATGTATATATTTATGTATATGTATGTGTATGTGTATGCGTGTGTATGAATGCATCTATACATGTACGTATGAAAACAAACTTACAAAGATTTACATCTATATTTATCTTACGTATTTACGTACATGTAAATACGTAAGAGTTAGAAAGGAGAGAGAGAGAGAGAGAGAGAGAGAGAGAGAGAGAGAGAGAGAGAGAGAGAGAGAGAGAGAGAGAGAGAGAGAGAGAGACAGAGAGGGAGAGAGACAAAGAGAGAGAGAGAGAAGCGGAGAAAGAGGCCAGACTCGCCGCCACCTGGCGAGGACGACCAGCTCCTCCGCAGCCTCGTCCGCGTGGCAGCCGCGTCGGGAGCGCGGGAGGCGGGAAGGAGCTGGAGACTCCGGCGCATGGCTCGCTCGAACTCCGTGTGCAACGCGTCAGCCGCGCTTCGTGGGAAAAGGCGGGAAAATGATTTGGTATGCGAGAAAGGGCGAATATTTTGACAGTCCGTTGAATTATAATATACATATCGATATTGCCAGTAAGTGGCCAAATATCAAGGAAAGAGAGAATATTGCAGTTATAAGTTATCTCATTATCCCCTTTTTATGATATTTATATTTAATTTTGTGCATGTATTTCCTATTGCCTTAGCTTTATTTCTGCGCATTGCATTTATATTCCATTATCAATTATTCTTTGCAATAAAGATGATGACTAGCATTATCATTATCAATATTATCATCACTATTATTATTTTGAAAATATCTTTATTGTACATTTAATTCTTATTCTTATTATTTGCATT